CAACAAATCTGTTAGTTATAAAATCACTTGTAAAATTGATATTTATTCTGTTGCACAAAAAGTTGTACCTGTTTAGCAGAGATTTAAAACATTAAAGGTTTTCATGCATTTGATTTTTTCACAACACAATTTCATCATCTTGGCTTTCCCACACATGTGTGCTTTACAAGATAGTGAGTAGGGGGAAGCAGCATCAAATGTTTATCTCCTGTAACTCCTCTCCTTAAGTAATATGCAGCACTCCTTGGTTCATAGGAACATGCTGCTTGTACTGACCCCTATAATTATTCCCTATCAATTTTTATATAAATTCAGATACACTCTTGTATAACAAAGCAACACTGAAATGAAATATTGCTATAGTAAGAGAAAAAATGTACAAAATATTTTATTATTGCTATATAAATAATTCTGAATCAAGAAATATTAAGAAATCAAAACACAAGCAGATTTATTGAAATAACAATTTCTGACTGTCCAAATATCATATTTACATATGTATAGGTTGCACATGTATATAAGCCACAACAAAATCTTCAGAAAGAAATTTTGAAAAAAATTATTTGACCTTCCATTTACTATGGTAGGCACAACAAGGTGAGGTTGAAGTATTCAGAAATGTAATTAATTCCACAAAGAGAATCATCTCATTATTCCCAAATTCTTTGTTCTCTGATCTTGTCTGACCATCCTTGAAAAATACTTTCTTGGGTTAACAAACCTTGTTAAGTAAGAATATGCCATTCATTGTTATTTGGACTAAGTCCAAGCAAGTTATGCAGAAAAATTCAAGTTAGACATTGTGTAATGTGCAGAAGAAAATAGCAAAACAGCAGAAGGGAGGAAATTTGATGTCAACAAGAAAAACATTCATCAATAAAGTAAAAAAAAAGAAAAAAAAAGCCTTCAAAAAGACTTTCAAAAATTTAGAAACATTTTGGGGAAAGAAGCCAGGTATCTCCATATAAAAACTGATTTCTTAAAAGATGCTCATAAAACAAGAACAAATGGATTTGCAGTGCCAATTGAAATACAGTAGAGCGTCGATTTTCCGAATCAATTGAGGACTGGGGTTGTTCGTATAACTGATATTTCGGATAACCGATTTATGTATGAAAAAATAGTTTAACGTATCCGATGTTGAAATTTTTATCCGTTGTGTGTCGCTTTGCGTTGAATTTTCGTCGATGTTAAGCCTAACAAAGACTATTGTATCGTTAAAAATTAGTTTTTTGTTTTGTACAAACAAAATAAATATATTGAAAAATATAAAAACAATAAAAAATTATATTTCAGATGTTAATTTAGTATCAAAAACGTAAAATATTTGAGTAGCCCAAGACATAGCCAAAGATTGAAGCTCCACAGCACTGGCGAAAATTTAAATTTGCCGACTGGAAATCTTTCGGATGATTGACGTTTCGGATGATTGACTTTCGGAAAATCGACGCTCTACTGTACTTCAATTCAAAACATACATGAAAGCAGAGAGATACAAAATTTTTCTCAATGAATTTAAAGCAAACTATGAGTAAGGCAATTTCAAATCAATAGTGCAATAATTTCCATCCACATATTTGAAGAAAAATTACTCCAGTTCCAGAAATACATTATTGAACTGAGGAAAAAGCATAAGGTGATTTGGAAACCACTGGACACACTGATGAAATAAGGTGTTTCATCAGTGTGTCCAGTGGCATGTCAAAAGAACCAATTGTAAACAAGGCAGACAAAAAAAACAGCACAAATGCAGATACAGCAGAAGTGCAGAATGGCTAGAATGATGATGTATATAGTTCTAATTTATAATTCTAGTCATCACTGCTGATGGTAACAAGCTACCATCACATCTAATTTTTAAATAAAATATATTTCTGAAGAAGTTATTTGAGAGAACTTTGATATGGGTGCAAAAAAAACAGCTGAATGACAGAACAACCCTTTCAGAACTGACTTATGGTCTGTTTGGTTTCAGCAATGGAATATGCTTTTATGTTGGTTATCTTATGTTAGTAATCGTAATTTAAGGAAATTTGAAGGAAAATGTGAAGAGGAACTATGTGACATACTGATAATAACAGAAGGAATGATGGCTTGTTGCAACCTTTAGACATACAGATCAATCACAAGAACATTTACAATGGCTATATTGCAAAATGAAAGTGAAATTCTTCAAAAACAATACTTAGCAGACACTTGAAGAAAGTATTATTGTATCAAATGGGTGAGTAGATTATGTCTGCATGGTGTCAATACCCTAGAAAAGGTGTCTGAAAGGTTTAAAGAACATCAGTATCTATTGCATTGATGGAAGTGAAGACAATGCCACATAGCACAAATCTCTTTTGAATGGAAACAATAAAAGCAGCAAGGAGCCGAGTGACAATAATCAATGATCTCTCCTCATCAAAGAAATAGAGGTATTTGTTACACTTATAACTGGTATACACTGTACCTATAAATATCAGTAGCAATAAATTGTTTTTAAATTGAAATATGTATTTAACCCGGGTTAGCGCAGTGGGGATTTTCAACACTCCAAATGTTTTAAAAGTTGCACTATTCATAGATTTCGCAACTAATATCTGTTTATTCTTCAATAGCTTCATGATTTTATGTATAGAGCATGCTCAGAAATTACTATGGTGTTGTAGAAACGGTGTTGCAATTTTCAGTGGGGTGTTTGGACACCCCACTGAAATTTAAAATAAACTTATAATAATAAACATGAATAAAAATAATTTATCTATAAGTTTATTTTAATTAGTTTTATTTTCTTACAAATTCAAAATAGCTGACTTTGATAAACACACTGACAAAAATATCAAACATAGCAAGCTTCTTGTCATTTGCATTGAGTGCCAAAGTATAATGTCAGCTAATGAATCAGAGTGACAAAAATGCTTGAAAAAAACAATTTAGATTTTTACTATTGGTTTTATAATAAGATCAAATGTAATGAGTTTTGATAAATGTTGTTTTTTATTTTCATGGATTTATGTACTAATGTAATATGTAATCAGACCTGAATATAATCATATGTATAATAACACATGCCTTTACCAAATAAATGAGTAAAACTTTATGAATTTTTACTTACATGCTTCATGGACCAAAAAAAATGTCGGGGTGGACAAACACCCCACTGCATTAATGCCGAAAAAAATTCAATGCACTAACGCAGGGTTAAGTTATTTCAAGTATAGACAGCTCTCCAACATTTGACTAATATTTTATACATACAAACAGATAGTCTAAATAAAATTTCTAAACAGTTAGTTACATTACTCAAATCACGAGACCATTAGAGATAGTGATCCCTAAAGCCAATCAATATACAAAAGAATATTAAAAACAAACCAGCTGACCAGTTAGAGCTCAAATATATATCACAGAAGAAGGCTAACAATGGATATGTGAAATTCGGATCGAGTTAAACGAGTTTAAGTCGTTTAAACAACGAAATTGATGAAATAAAACATTTATTTTAAACAAAGAAACAACCATTTCTATGCAGTATCGAGCCTTTTTCGGGGGGCGGATGTTCATCTTCCCGTCCCCGGAGTTACTTCCTCGCCCTCCGGAAACAAACTCTGAATCAACAGGATCTTATCCAAAGAAATCTATGATTGGTGTGAAAAGATAACGTGATAAAAGATCACCCGAAGATAAAAAAGGGGGGACAACCACAGGGTGTGGTGGACTTCGCCGTCCCGGAGCCGATCCGACTTTGCCGTCCGTTGATCCCTCGTTGAAGACCGTCACCGCCGAGCCGCCCATCCTGCCGCCCGTCGCTTGTGCAGCCGCCCGTCGAGCCCGGAGGAGGCAGTCCCTAGGAAACCTACTGGAGAGGTCCAACACTTATCCGAATTTCTGGCCGTAGTAGCCATCGAAACCAACAGAGGTATGAAACCCAACATATTGTGAACTCTCTCTCGGCGCGGCCCTTCCCACTCCGCGGAAACGATATATATTCCCTCTGTTAATTATAGTTTGTTTAATAAATGTCTGTTTGTGGTTAATTGGAGTCCTTAATTCGAATAGCGCACACACCTCACCGACGACCCCTCTCACCTCCTCCACTCGACCTGACAAAAGAATCCCGACTTCACGGGATAGAGAAAACATTATCCAAGCCATCCCCTGACCAGTGGGCAGTTCTCGCCGAACTGTTGCCTATCAAAAAGAGGTACGACCTCGTCCTACCTCAGGCTACCCACAGATATGCTAATCCAATAGCTAACAATTGCTAATCCTACAGCAGGCAATAGTGTAAAGAAATTCTTGGAACAACAAAACTAAAACAATAAAGGCTTTAAAAGCAAAAAATAGCTTAAAATGTATTTCTTTCAACACAAAAATCAGAAATAAAACAAAATTGTCATCATGCAAATTGCAATATAGTAGTTATAACAGCAGCTAAAAACCACTGTAATATGGCTCTTTGCACTCTAGAGCATATTTGTTCAGACCACTCAGGTTTTTCACACATTGCATTAAAGAAAATTTAGTAAATGGAAAATATTGCGAGATATTGTGTAATCATTAGAGTGACCCACAGAAAAATTTTTTAATGGCATGATATCTGGACCTTCAACAAGTAATATTTATACTGTTTAATATTTTTACATTAATTAACAACTTTTATTTTTAAATATTTTATTCTGATTGAATACTCACTTAAATGGACTTTAAATCTTTATATAATGTTTGAACATTAAATTTATTTATAAAATAAAATTCTTTCAACATAACAATATTCTTAACAAAACTTGTTTTAATTTTGTTCTTTAATTGTTATATTTAATCTCAAATAGAAATTAATAAATTCAAAAAGTTTACATCTTTTTAGATCTTGTTTAGAGCTTTAGAGTTTATTTCAAATCTATAAGAGAAGCTAAAAGAAAAGAAAATCAAGAAACAGTTTAACATTGCTTCTTGATTTTATTTTCTTTAAATTTTTGGAATATGCACAAATTAAAAAACTAGATATTATCTACCTGATTCTGATCTGTTGTGTATTGATATCCATCTGCTGTTTGAGTTACATAATATGTACCAGTGGTAGTCTGTTGCTGACCACTTTCACTTACTGTACCAATAGTAGTTGCAGTAATCATTTCTGAATTTTCTGATTGTTGATTAAGACTATCTCCTCCTACTGAAGTTCCATCTTGTATCTCTTTATTAAATGAAGCTAAATAATTCTGAATGTCCGAGATGGTTTCAGCTTCTGATTCTTCTCTATGATTCTCCATTTTGATAAATTGTTCTAATCTGTAATATTAAATTTAAAAATTTATATAAATAGAAATAAATCAAAAAGATAAAGTATATCAATAATTATTGTAAATTTTCTTACATAATTACAGTATATTCATAATTAGTTGTAAAAAAAACTTTACAATAAATAATCACTAAGTACAAAAAAAAATCTTTAATGATTATAATTTTTATTAATCACAAGTTATTTATTCTGTAATTTTTAAATTAAATAACTGTTTTTTACTTCAATTCAGAGACAGCACTTGAATAAAAGGAACATAATTTAAATTTTATAAATTTTTTGTTCCTTTAACACTCTTATTTCATATTAAAACAATTAAAAAACAAAATTTTGAAATAAAAGTAATCTTAATTGGTATTAAAGCTGCCAATTTGATCAGTTGCATTAAGTTAAACAACATTTTGAATCTTTTTCAATATCTCATCTGTTATTATGATTAGTTCTAGATTATCTGCTATTTGAATAATTTTTAATCATAACTCAGTGATTTTAATTAAAACTGAACAATAAGAGCTATAACTTTTGTCTCAGAATGATTCATTGCAAATACTTTTTTAATGACATCAATAATTTAAATGTATAAAACAATGATCATAAATTAATATTTTTCAAATTTGTTTCCTTATAAATTTAAAAACTTAGACCAAAAGGAAGAAAACTCATTCATTGTTCCTAGATATTTGGCTAATTGCAAAAAAGCATAAAATTTTTGTGAATATAGTCCACTAGTTCTGTGTATTTAAAAGTCAACTTGAAAGGCGGTGCAGATCATTTGATAGGTGGGTTACACAATTTTACATTGCAATCATGAGCCTGTGCCTTTGCAGCAATGGCTTCTCACATAGGCACAAGGTATGTTAGTGAGGCAAGTTATAAAAAATTTTATTGTTATAGCAATTTTCTGCAGGGATATATGCAACAATAAAATGTATGTATGGAAATATGATAAGTGTAATATAATGTCAATATCAAAAAGTTTTCTGCAAGCATTATGAATAAATAAAAAGAGCTATCTTCCAGAATACAATGTACAGAATATCTGAATATCAATATATATTTTGGAAGAGATGTTATTGAACAACATGCAATAAAATATCTAGAAAAACTTCTATAAAAATTCTCTGTTAAAGTAACAATATCTACATAGAGAAAACATTAAATTTTAAAAAAAATGTTTACTATATAATGTCAAATTTAATGTTTTCTCTATGTAGATATAGTTGGCAGTTCAGTATTTCATTTATTATTTTTAACACTGAACTGCCAAAACTTAGGTTGGAAAACAAGTCAAACCATCCAATTTTATATTTTATACAAAAATATCCTTGTTAGTGTAGTTAAATGTATTCCAGAAAAATACCATACTAATTGAATGTGTGCATGAATAAAGGGGACTACTCCAAATATACAATTTTTTTAATATTATTACACATTTGTGTAATCCTTAGAATTTCTCCTTGCCTAAAAAAACAAGATTTTTCTGTGCATTACAAGACATATACTCCAATTGTAAATCTCTGCACAAGTGAGCAACATCTTTATAGTATCCCTTCCTTTGTTGCAATCAGGGCATGGTTAGACAAAATAAAACAATACAATGATGTTTTATCCACTTTAATAGAAAAACTAACATTTTCAACATTTTAAACAGTTGTTATCAGGTTTAACCTAATAAATTTGAACAGTGATTGTAATTAGAATAAATTTTTTAAACAAAAAGAACATTGGCATAATTGGTTGCAACATCACACTTAACAAAAATTGAAAAACAGAAAAATCAATGTATGATAAACAGTGGTGGCCAAAAGTTTAGGACCACTATGCAATTTTTCTTATAAATACCTTTAACTGAAAAATTAATGTAACTAATATGATGCTGTTGTTAAATTTATAGAAACACTTATAAACTATGCATATATGGGATGCAAAGAACAGCTACTTATAGATTCAGTTATTCTGTGACAAGTACACAAACAACACAGAAAACTATGTAGCAAACAGAGATTATTGAAAAATACTTAACATCATCCCATATTTGTGGTTATTACACACAAACCACTTATAGAAAATACATACAACAGTTATTACACTTATAGAAAACAATGCAGCATGGGAGAACAATACTATATCTCAAACTTCAAGAGATAACCAGTGAAATTTCTTGATTGATGTGCCAAATTAGAAAGTAGGCATGCTACAAATATTTTGTATATTTCATATATATTAAAAATTGAATCATGCTTTCTGTTCAAGCATGTCTCTTAATCATCATCACATCTTGAACTAGCACAACTTGTTTGTCACTTGTCCTTCCTATTTGAGGAGGATTATTACCTGAAAGCTAGGGGTCTGTCCATGAGCAACCCTGTATCATCTGTGAACTGGTAATTTTTTACCTAGAAGAGAATATTTTTCTGGTATATGATAACCAAATTGTCTTATATACAAGATAAATCAATTACATTCTAATAATTTGGTACTGAAAATTCAAGCAGTTAGCACCTATCAGCCTACTTCTATGTCCTCTTAATTTTGCAAGATAGCACATCTCTACCAAGATGTATAGAAAAACTATTTACAAGAATTAAAGTTGTATAGAAAACCATCTGTTGTTTATCCCATCTGAATCCTGGGACAGTTTCAAGATTGAGTTTTGAGCCTGCCCATGAGCAACCCTCATGAGCATGCCCAAAAGGTCAAATGGGCCTTCTCACACGTTTTCAACATGTTGGACAGAGTAAAAAAGTTAGATTATATAAAGCAAATCACTAGTGAGCATTGGTACTCAGAACCATGTTCAGGGGATTGATTAAAAATTATGAAATCTCTTTGGACATTCAAAAAGATATCAAACCATATGTAAATGTCAGATACAGTCATGAACTAAGAAAGATTCATAAAAACCTAGCAACTTCCAACATCAGGATTGCCTATAGGAGGAATCACAATTTTTGGCATGATTGTGTGTATAAAGTGTTTGGCTAGTTCCTGATATGGGGATATAAATTTTTGTACCAGAAACCACCATTTTTTTTGTATTCTGGAACCACTGGACCAATACAGAATCCTCAATGTTTTGAATATTTCTCTTAAGGATCAAAGATTTGATATTGAATTAGAATAGGAGCCACTTTGTGTTTGCACCAGGCTAAACTTGGGGAACACAAGCAAACATTCATAAAGACCAACCAATTACCACTTTAACTAACTGTGTCATAGCACTGGACACATAAGCTAACTGCAGGGAGATCATATCACTTAAAAAGGCTGGAAGTTTATATATATCTACATGACAATCTAGATGTATAATCATAAGAGTTTGAAGCTATTTCCAGTCCATAAAAGATTTTTTATGAAACCCTGTAGTGTATATTGTATTCTTTATTTTATATAGTATTATATTACACATTTGACTTGCCACTCAGGTTAATATTTTTATTTTGTAATGAATTTTAGAATTTTATATCTATTTTAAGTGCCCAGGTTCCAAATTTTTTAAAATCCTGTTCTTTTTATGTTCTTTAATGTACAGCACCTGTTTCTTATAGGAGTAACTTGATAAAGGCTTTTAACACTGGCCAAAAATTTGTTTGTAAAAATGTTTTTTGTAAACCAATTTTTGCTGTACTAGAATATAAAAACATTTGTATTGATATTTAAAATGTTAAAAAAGAAGCAAATTTATATTATTAACTGATAAAGGTAATTGTAATAAATATATGTTAAATCTTTTCAATCTTGTAAATTTCATTAGTTATTTGAAATCTGTATTTATCACGTGTCTGAGGTAACATGGTATTCTTAAGGGAGATAATTTTTTTTTTTTTTGTCTATTTTTATAATTTATCACATTTAATGTATTTTCAAAACAAAACATTACAAGCAATAATTATTACTTCCAATTTTTATTATATACAGGAATTATCATGAAAAATAATTGATTAACATCACAAATAGTTGCTACATATTAACATTATCTGTGAATCAAAATAAATTACAATCTAAGATTTATCAAAAGTTTATTAAAAACATATTTTCTAGAATAAATCAAACAAAATGTACTGAACTTAAAATTTGCATAAACAATTATTAATACCAAAAGACAGTGATCTTAAACTTTTATCTATCAATTATAATCCAAGGATATATGTATAATTGACAAATAATCAAATTCTTTGTTCAATAAAAGTTAAAAATAAATTATTATAAATTTTAGGGTTCTAAAAAGTAATCAATCAGTTAGATAATTTGCTTTTCTATGCACAAAATTCCAAAATTTGCATACTCTAGTTCTAGATGTATGACATAATTACCACACATTATAACAAATTGTAAAAAAAAAGTTTTTAGCTCTATGCTGTTATCAAAATACCATGCAGCATAGTTTTCTCAGGCTGATGTGGCATTTAAAATCAAAATCAATAAATCAATCAAAATCAAAATGTATTAATAAACATCCAACCATCTACCAAATTAATCAGGCAGAAATTATGCTACAAATATTAATTAGAAATTACATGATTAGAACAACTAGAGGTAGATGTTAGGTGCCAGCTCTTAATGAAAATAATAATTTAATTTTAACTTTTAGAATAATCTGGAAGAAAAGAATTTAATAAATTGGATTTCTTGGGATGTCTATTTTCAAAATGTATTTAGTTAAAAGCATTGCAAAACAAATGGAAGTGCAGCAGGTCCAGAATTTATGAAGTTTTATTGAAATGTGAAAATAGTCATAAAAAAAAAAATTGCCTTGAATGACCAAGTCTGTGAAGTGATTGAGATGATCAAGCAATTTTGCAGTTAGCATCTGACTGGGATAAACCACTGCATAAAACTGCCCATGCTTTACTCATTCCTGTGTCAAAGATAAAGTTTACCAATATTTCAATTCAAATATTTTTTGTTTTTGTAGTATAGAGAGGTTTCAAGTCAACATCACCAGTGATGTCATGAGTATGTGCAATTGTCTGGCACCATCTTTGTAGTT